CAAAGGTGTTATATATATAGAATATGAGGATTTAATTCTTGATGAATAAGATAGCAAATGCTATTCAATTTTTTAAAATTCATTCTAATTGAATGGTTTAAATTCTATTTTGATCACTCTATTTTAATAAAAAGTTTTTTTTTTTTTAGTTCCTTTACTTAAGAAAATCCATTTTTGGTCTTTAAAATTTATATATTGTTCATCCCTTTTTACTCTGTTCATTATTTTTGTATATATATAACACGGTAGATGACAAAACTTCCAAATTTGAAACCATATGAAAAAGCCCTTTTTTATTCCTCTACTTATGAAGTTTTGTCATCTAACCCATAATATGTGCAAAAAAAGAACAAAATGATTAAAAAAAAGGTTAGATAATAAATTTTAGGGACCAAAAAGAGGTTTTCTTAAGTAGATAAACTAAAAAAAAAAAAAAAGATTTTTGTTAAAATAAAGGGACCAAAATGAGGTTTTAACCTAACTAAATAAATTCTCATATCAAGATTTTATAGCAAATATTTAGAGTCTAATTTATCAAGAACAACAAAATCAAATTTTGTGAGATTTGCTATAATAACTACAAATTTTTTTAAGTAATTAGTATAACATATAAATTGGATAATTATGAAACACATTGAAGGAAATAGGAGATAAAGATAAAATCTTAACTTAAAGTCTTACCTTCATAATCTTATCTAAACAATGTAAGTACCTAAAATTATTTAATTATTAATTTATTTTTTTTATAAATATGAGTTTTTCCCAACACACATTAAGGATATTTTTTTATCATAAATTATATTGAAAAAATATTTTTTTATCAACAAAGTGAAAATTAATTATATATAAAATTTTTTTATCAACAAAATAAAATTTAATTTTATAGAGAGTATAAGAAGTATTTTTACCCATATTTAAATAAAATATACAAGTTACATTAATACCAGCAGCACATACATTCCATTGTTTTCAATCTTAACCAAAAATTCAAAATTATAAGTTTGCAATCCTACATAGCATGAAACAAGTAAATGCATACAATATCACGATAAATTTTAAATAAAAAAATAATAACAGGGATGATAAAAACTTGAGACCAATGACATGACTTATGGTATGTCATTAAATTAATTAATACATATACTATCACATATTTTAAATAAATTATAAAAGTTAATTATTAAATAATATAGAGTCCACCTTTTATTATTTTAAATGACATAGCTTATGCCACATTATTGGTCCTAGATTTTGGTCCCAAATTAATGTTGGTCTTATCAATCATTATTGTAAATGAGAAAAAAAAAACTAATTATATAATGACATCATACTATAAACTTACAATATTAAATGATATTATAACCATACTACCTTTATCCTAAAATAACTATCATTATTTGATTTTGAATTTATCTAAAATAATTGTCTTTAACTATATCATTTTTACTTTTTAAGGCAAATAAATATTTTTTTCTTACTTTAACTATATCATTATTTATTTATTTTAATTAATTTCTTATTATAAAAATTTTATTTTATTTTAAAAGTTTTTTAAAATAACATAAATAAATATATTAATTATCTTTAAATCTTTAATTAAAAAAAAAAAAAAACAACAATTATTTTAAATCGGAGGAGTATCATTTTCATTATGGCCAACTAGGTAAACCCGTGTTTGTATTTGCAACTTCCAAAATTCGGTAAGAAATGACGCAAACTAATCAAGTGCCAAAAATGACACATATAACATGCATAAAAGGAAAGACAATTCAATTGAGGGAGCTTCCAAAACATGCATCTCTCCCGTTTCGCTTTCCTAGATTTAATAACCAAAAATGCATTTGTCCACAACTGCTCTTAACCATTATCTTTCCTTCCGGTGTCAGTTACTTTCTTGCAACCTTTGTCTTCATCGTATGAATGTTGCCAACTTTCACAAATAATTTTGATTTCCAGCCATTTATATCTCTCTCTTTCTGTGTGGCTGCCACTGCCTTCAATAATCCATTCCATTCCTCTCTACTTTCATATAACAAGAGAAAATGAAAGAGAGGAAGAAAACCCAGAAAGCTCATGTCTTGATCCTCCCCTACCACCTACAGGGTCACATAAATCCTATGCTCCAGTTCGCCAAACGCCTCGTTGCCAAAGGCGTTAACACCACCCTAGTAACCACCGTCTTCACCTCCAAATCTACGCACACCGACCCTACCAGCTCCATTGCTATGGAAACCATTTCTGATGGCTTCGATGAAGGCGGCAGAACTCAGGCTGAGGGCAGTAAAGCTTACCTCGAATCTCTCCGAATAGTGGGATCTCGGACTTTATTAGATCTGATCAAGAAACTTGGTGATTCGGGTCGGCCCGTCAATACTGTTTTGTATGATGGGTTTATCCCTTGGGTACTGGATGTTGCAAGGCAGTGTGGGGTACTCGGGGTGGAGTTTTTCACACAGACTTGTGCTGTGAACAGCGTGTATTACCATGTAAACAGGGGACTTCTTCAGGTGCCAGTCTCAGGGCCGACTGTTTCATTTCCAGGATTGCCTTTGCTGGAAGTTTCCGATACACCGTCGCTTGTATCACACTATGGATCCTACACGGAGGTGTTTGACATTGTCATGAATCAATTCTCCAACGTCAACGAAGTGGACTGGGTGCTTTTTAATACCTTTTACGAATTGGAGACTGAGGTAATTATGTATACATGGCCTATAACCGGTCTGATAATATTCCCAAACCATTAACCGTGAGTTCTGAAATTCTGGTTTTTTTTTTTCACAAGTAGTGGATTAGTTGTCAAAACTATGGAAAGTCGGGACAATCGGACCAACAATTCCGTCTATGTTCTTGGACAAAAGACTTGAAGGTGACAGAGCCTATGGCATCAATCTCTTCAAGCCAAACATAGCGGATTGCATGAATTGGTTGAATGGTAAGCCCAATAACTCAGTTGTGTATGTTTCATTTGGTAGCGTCGCAGAATTGAAAGAGGAACAGATGGAAGAATTAGCTTGGGGTTTGAAGGGCAGTAATTGCTTCTTCTTATGGGTAGTGAGGGCAACAGAGGAGACCAAACTACCAAAATCTTTCACGGAGGAGATAACAGAGAAGGGCTTCCTAGTGAGGTGGTGCTCACAATTGGAGGTGTTGGAGCATGAAGCAATAGGATGTTTTGTTACCCACTGCCGCTTTAATTCTGTTCTTGAAGCTCTAAGTTTGGGAGTTCCAATGGTGGGAATACCTCAGTGGACAGACTAACCCACGAATGCAAAATATGTAGAAGATAAATGGAGAACTGGAATTCCCGCTAAGCCGGACGTGCAAGGTGTTGTTAGGAAAGTGGTTATAGAGCGGTGCATCAAGGAATTGATTGAAGGAGAGAAAGGGAAAGTGATGAAGAAGAATGCAAGCAAGTGGAAGAAATTGGCTAGAGAGGCAGTGGATGAGGGTGGAAGTTCAGATAAGAACATTGATGAATTTGTAACTAAATTAGCATCACTTTTGACTAATAGTTTGAAATGGGAATCCGAATCAGATACATTTTCTTGTGATTCCAAATTGTTTCTGAATAAAAATGATGTAAAATTGACTAACACTAGTTTGATTTTTCATGCCAAGAATGCATTATTATTCGATGAATTTATTTTTTGGTTTAAATACCTTTCCGATCTCTCGACTTTGTGATTTTTGTACTAAATTAGTCCTCTTTTTTGTTTTTTAGTTTTATTTATTTATTTATTTATTTTTACCTTTTTGGTCTCTCAACTCGTCAATTTAGTAACATATTGGTCCTCTGTGGACTTGACAAAATTGGATCCAATCCGAAAATCCAACTCAATCCATTTATTAAATGGGTTGGGTAATAGATCTTATGTGTCAATTTGAAATCCGAAATAATCTAGATTGAAATTATTTGAATCTAAATAAGTTAGGTCACGGGTGAGTCGCATCACCCAAAATGACCCAAACTTTTATTTATTTATTTTTTATTAAATTATTTAAAAAATAATTTTAAATTTCTAATTTCTTAATTTTAAAAGTAGAAATAAATAAAATACCCAAACTCTAACCTCCTTTCAGTTTCTCTTTCTGTCAACTTTTCCTCTTCTCCACTCTTACTGTCCCCTTCTTCATCTCAAGCTTTTTAATTCTTCTCTTTGGTGCTACTTGCGTCAAAAATCAAATTATATGGCACATAGTGAGTTGTGTCATATGACATTATAAATGTTTTTTAAAAAAATAAAAATAAAAAGCAAGAATACCTACTAAAAATAAAAAACCCAATGGTTGAGGAACTCTCATCATCATTAGAAGCACAATGACAAGAACATCAAAAACATCAAGGTTTGATCTTAGTTGCTAATTTGTTCTAAATTACTAATTTGATTTTAATTAATAATTTGTTCCTAGTTAATAAAAATCAATCCCGATCCAATTTCTTCTTGTATTTGTTTAGACATATTTTATATTTACCTTTTAAACTTTAATATTGAATAAGGCTATACTTTTTGTATAATGCCTTTCTAAATATTGAATAGAATTGTATTTTTTATATAATACTTTATAAATATTAAATAAACACTAGATATTAACATATATATTTGATTTATCTTTTGAACTTTAATTCTCCATGTCTCTTCTTTTAATGAAGATTAATCCCTTTATGAAATTATAAAATTTAAATATTGTATAGACATTATATATTTGACATGTTTTGGACCTTTTGGTTCCATCTATATAATTAGTAATCTTTTCTTTTTTCTTTCTTGAGATTGGAATGAAAATTGAATCATAAAAGGAAAATTAACGTTTAATAAAGTTTTCTCACTAAATAGTTAATTAGTATTAGACTTTGTTAAAAAAAATATTAAAAAATATTTAAAAAATTTAATTTTAATTTTAATTTTTTAAAAGTTGAGTACACTTGACCCAATCCGAGACTTGTGTGGGTAAGTCACAGGTCTACTCTTTCAATTTGACACTCAAGATGACCTAATCCGAAAAACCCAAAATCCAAGATGACTCAATCCAATCCCATCCAATCCGAACCGTATGCCAGGTCTAGTCCTTTGTCACGCTGAGTTGCTGACCATATTCGGAGATTCGTTGCTACTTATGCGTGGTGAGGCTGACGGAAATGGCCAAGCTACCGGCCAAGTTTGTGGAGGATTCAATGGAGATGGGCTTGCAGGTGGGTTACTGTCTACAAAATGGAGGTGCTAGGGCATGAGTAGATAGGATGCTTTTGGTATCCATTTGCAGCATTAATTTTGATCTTGAAGCTTTTACTCTGGAATTCCCCCAGTGACAATGCCTTAGTGATTGGACGGACCCCCCAGAAAGGTACGAAAAGGAGATGTTTGGAGAACAGAATCCAAGCACGAGCTAGGTATTATTAGGAGAGAGGTTTTAGAGCTGTGCATAAAGGAAACGACATGAGATAAAACGAGGAAGGGATTAAGAAGAATGGAAGCAAGTGGAGGAGTTTGGCCAGACAGACAATTGATAAAGGTAGGAAGTCCAGAGAGGAACATTGATGAATTTGTACTAAACTAATCAGCAATAAAAGATTGATTTTTTTTTTTCTTTCTGTTTTCCATGTTTCAGTTGTTTAAATGTTTTGAGTTTTTCATTTCTTCTCAAAAAGACTGATTTAGAAAAAAAAAATTTCCTTTGCATTCAAAGATTGAGATGAGAAATGCATTCATCCTAAAGCAAAAAACCTAAAATTGATACAGAAACCTACAATGTAGGACGTTCCAATCCTCAGCAATGGGGACCATATATAAGCTAACAGTTAGCCACTCTCTATGAAACGATCTCAATTAACTGATTCAACTATTTTGTCAAGGATTACAAATAAAACACAAATGCATATTTGAAAGAGTCAAATAAACATTTTAACCATTATTGAGGGAACAACATACCAGCACAAACAAGATCCATGTATTAACATGGCACAAGCGGTAACCAACATGTCAACCTGATTCAGATTTCAGACATCTACAAGTCTATGGCCATTCATGAGTTGAGTAGTTAGTAAGCCATTCAATTCAAGCCTGACTCATTTACTAAATAAAGCTTAAGTTCAAGTTCAAATTCAAGCTTTAGCTCATTCAGTTTATTGACCTCAAGCTCAGTAACAGCTCATAAGAAGCTCGATAACTTTTAAAAATAAATAAATTATATAATATTTCATATGTATAAACACACACAGACACACACACTAGCCAAGCTAGGCTCAAGTAACCCAATAATCAACTTGTTTACAACTAGACAGCAATAATAAGCAGACACATGCATCAGCTAGAAGAAAGAAGGGGAGACAAAGAAAATGTCATAATTATAAGGTGATGCAGATACATGAAACAGCATTCACTTGATAAGAATCTATTCTTTTTGGACAGACAACAATTCAGGGATAGAAATGGTTAAAAGGGCACAACACTAGCACCAATGAATATAAAGTTTTAACCAGGACTCCAGTTAAGTACCCTACCATGAAATATAAGACGAATAACTAATTACAGATTTTGGGAAACTATGATGCCATCAGAGTGAATACGTAATATAGAAAACTTGGACCAATAATTAAAGCCCAAAAAATACATTTCATCTAAAACTTATTTGACACGCATGAAAATAAATAACTACACATAAATTATGCCAACATACAATGATACACTAATGGGTGAATTACTGCAATTTCTATGGAAGAAATTATAGGATGTTAGACTTGCTTTTATTATGTGCAGTAGAACTATAGTTGAATTCTTTACTCACTGGTTAGTACTTTGAGTCTTGTAATTTTTGCATAACTGGTTTGTTTGTTAAAGGTTTGAACTTTTGATTACAATTTTTTTTATTGAGGTAAAAATCATTTCAAACTTTCAAGTGATCTTAAGGCTGTATGTCGAGATGAAGAGATGGAGAAAAACCAATAGAAATTGTGATACAATAAAAGGGATTAGTGAGCTTGGAATGACTGAAAGGGGGCTTTAATTGTTTAAAGCCAGAACACTAGATGCTAAGAATAGGCTGCAAGAAGGGTTTCTTTTCTCTTTGAAGTGTATTTGTAGAGATTAGGTGATTCTTCGATCTATCTAAAAGTGATTAGGATTGGCTTTGTCTTCGGTGCAGGCATAGGGATAGGGATTGCCTAAGTTGAGTATGAAGTGAAGACATGAACTTTTGTTTTTAGGTTTTAGTCTGTTAATGAGCTAATTCTTTTCCAGAACAATATTTTGTAGCTTTGCTTGTGCAAAGCTTTTATCTTTTGTTTGTTTTTCATGGATTTTGGTCTGTGGGCATTTGTTTCTTTGTGTTTCTTGTTTTTCCACTCCATTTCAAAGAAATTGAAACTTTTTTTATTTTTTGGAATCTACTATTTGGGAATCTTTTATTTCTATATATGCTTATCAACTTCAAATGGATTTGGTGTTGGAGTTTATGTTTGATTTTGAGGGCTAGCTGCTGGAGTTCAACTATGTTTCCTTTTTATTTTTTACTTGGTTAAATATCCTTTTTGGTCCCTCTACTATAGGAAAAAGCCCCTTTTTAGTCCCTGTACTGAAAAAATCCCCTTTTTAGTCCCTAAATTTCAAAATCCGGCTCCTTTTTGGTTCTTCTGTCAGTTAAGTGATAGAGTGGCACTATAATCTCTTAAATATTTTGTCTTTTTTCTTTTTATTGTTGACGTGTTATTACACGTTAATGAATAAAATGCCATGTGGAAAAAAATTGATGATGTGGACAAAAAATTTTTCCATATAATGAATAGGCTGTAATATAATTTTTTTAGAAAAATCATCATTTTCTTTTTCTCTTTTCATTTCCCATTTCTACTCTTTTCTTATCCCTAAAAATAATTAATTGTAACATCTTTCATCCTTTTCTTTCTCCTCACCTTATCCTCCTCCTCATCCTCGGCATCATCTTCACCGTTCTTTGCCATCGTCTTC